TGTTGAAGCTGTAACCTCTTAGTTAAGTTTATTTTCTGTCATTTCGTGATCGTCTGGCAATACTATTCTCGTTCTTGTCATTCATTTCTGTTTTGTGATTACATTTGTTTGTTTCGTTAAGAATAATTGTACGGTACTCTTAATTCCTGAAATTTTCTATAAAAGGCGACGAAAACTCTTTTTAGCTTCCATCTTGTGCACAGATAAACGGATGAATAAAGCCTGTATTGGTAAATTGTAAACTTGCGTGTTTTAATCAGTAACATTTTGGTGCCTCCTGTGAGAACAAATAAATTTCTATTTTGTGTTTTTGAGGCATGGCGGAACTCAACTTGCGTGCATCTGCTGTTAAGGCAATAAAACGCATACATGCCCGTGTGAGAGATGGTGGCGATGATGGTCGCGATGTATTCCAACTGCAACAGGAGCTGAAGTCGATCTAGAGACATTTTGGGAGATTCGTTGATAACCATAATCATCTTGTTGGAGAAGCGACACCCTCAGAAATGGTTACGCATGATTCGCTATGGGAAACTGTGGAGGAGCTTTACGGTGAGGCATGTAGCACACTCCACCGCCTTATTGCGACGTCAACGGTAGATTCCAATGCCAGTGAGGGTGCGCGCAACGTGCCTACTACGACTTTGGATGGCTGTTCGGTAGATCTTAAACTTGATCCGTTGGCTATTCCCCCATTCGACGGGGATATGTGTAAATGGTTGGCGTTCAAAGATGCGTTTGAAACGCTTGCCCATAACTCGGCGTACCCGGAAGCATTCAAGTTGGGTAAACTTCGCCAAGCAGTTAACGCGTCCACAGTGCCATTAATTGGAGGGATATATTCGGGTGGCTATCAAGAAGTATGGAAGGCTCTTAAAGAGCGTTACGACAACAAGAAACATCTGGCAGAAATACACGTGTCGCGTTTTCTCAACTTAAAGGTAGCCACCCAGGAGTCATCGCAAGCATTGTTGGCCGTTGTTGACACTGTGCATGAGTCGCTGCGAGCATTGCGGGTCATGGAGATCCCTGTAGATCAATGGGATGCATTAGCTGTGCCTATTGTTGTGTCCAAGCTTCCGCCTGTAACCAAGCGCGACTGGTGTATGAAGTGTACCACCACCGATATTCCACGGCTGGATGATTTGCTGAAGTTTTTGGAAAGGCGTGCTCATAGTCTATCGCCTGAACCATCGGCCGTTCTAGTGGCGCCTCGGCAGCAACGATCGGTGAAGTCGCATGTGGTTAGCGCTGAGCGGGCGCAGTGTGCGCACTGTGGTGCTACGCATCGAATTGCTAAGTGTCCAGCGCTGTCAGCTATGAATATTGAACAACGTTATGAAGCAGTTAAGAGTTTGAGGTTGTGTTATAACTGCCTACGTGCTGGCCATTCGTCCAGACAGTGCCCATCGGGAAGTTGCCGGAATTGTGGCCGTAAGCACAATACTATCTTATGCCGCGAGAGGTTCACCAACATAGCTTCGCCTGAATCCACGTCTACGTCACCCGTATCAAATACTGCACCTGGTAAGGTCCAAACAACTTCAGCTGCATGACTAGCAGCACCTGCGAGAGCCCACGCGGCCAGATATCAGCCGATCACCCTCCTAGCAACAGCGCGTGCATATGCCTTTGGAGAAGCATCGGTTCAGCGTGTGGCTCGTATCTTATGCGATCCTGGATCGCAGGTTAGCTTCGTGACGGATCGCCTAGCAAACTCCTTGCAGTTATACCGACGGAAATGTGACCTGATGGTTGAAGGGGTAGGGGCTGCCGTCAATACCCAAGTGAAGGGCAGCGTTACACTCACGTTGAGGTCAACGAAAACTACATTTGAAATGCAAATTGAGGCCTTGGTTTTACCGTCCATTACTTCTCCGACTCCGACGGTAAATATTGACGTGAACCAATGGCCGTACTTGAGAGGGCTAGAGTTGGCGGACGATCGGTTTGGGACGCCTGGAGTTATCGACGTTCTCATCGGCGCGGACGTGTGGGGGCGAGTCCTAGAGGGTGATGTCATCGGTGGACGACCAGACGAACCTTTTGCCCAGCGTACCCGCTTTGGTTGGGTGGTATTTGGCCCAGCAGCAGTGTCTTTTACTTCGAACGTATCATCGCTCGCACTGAGCGCGTTACCGGGTGAGGATGACGTCCGTTTAGAAGAACTGCTACACAGGTTTTGGGAGATGGAGGAAATTGCGATTGCTGATAATCAACACGTCGACGACTGTGCCCAGATCTTCGAAGCTACTCATAGCCGCACTGCAGACGGCCGTTACATTGTCCACCTAGCTCTTCGACAAAATGTACCCAAACTTGGTGACTCATATGCACTGGCTGCACGCCAATTCGGTAGACTAGAGCGTCGCTTGGTAGTGGATCCCGGCCTTAGGGAAAACTATGTGGCATTCATGCGGGAGTACGAAGCACTCGGACATATGGAGCGAGTCGAACCATCGTATCCCCATAGCAATTGCTACTATATTCCTCACCATGCGGTTACCACCAAATTCCGCGTGGTGTTCAATGCTTCGGCGCCGACCAGCACGGGAGTCTCCTTAAACGATATTCAACTGGTGGGCCCAGCGCTTCAGGACTCGCTTAGCAGCATACTTCTTCGTTTCCGACGTCTTCGAGTGGCGATAACTGCCGACATCGAGAAAATGTTTAGGCAAGTGTTAGTTGCGCCGGAGCATCGAGACTATCAGAGGATTATTTGGCGCGAGTCCCCGGCCGACGACATTGGCATATATCGATTGAAGACCATTACATATGGCATGGCATGCAGTCCATATAACGCAGTGCGCACGTTGCAGCAATGCGCTTATGATAATTACGGTTCGGTTCCGGATAGACGGCAGGCGGTCCTCGCTCGAGATGCAATTCTAACCTCGTTTTACGTCGATGATTTCCTCACCAGTTGTGAGAGCGCTACCGATGCAGTGGAACTGGCTAGAAACGTAGATACTATTTTATCCGCGGGCAAATTTACGCTAAGAAAATGGAACTCCAACGATGGCCAGGTGATGAGCTACTTATCTAATGAATCGTCTCTTTCCAGTTATACCTTCCATTCTGGTGTGGCTTCCGTCTTAGGCCTAAGATGGGACGCAGTGACGGATCAGCTATTTTTCCAAGTCGACCTAGACCAATCATCCGAGGCTCCCACGAAGAGGCGAGTACTTAGCGAGGTGGCGCGTCTCTTTGATCCCGCTGGGTTATTATCACCTGTCGTTGTAACTGGAAAGCTGTTCATCCAGAGGATGTGGGCTGCGGCGCTATCGTTGGACTCACCACTACCTGACGATCTTCGCAACGGATGGCTCGAGTACCGCTCCAAGCTGGAGGGGCTCAATAAGATCCGCATCGACCGTTGGATGGGCATGATTCAACGTGTTCAGACAACGTTGCACGGCTTTTGCGATGCCAGCTCACAAGCATATGCTGCCGTTATCTATACGAAGACCGTCGACGTAGGCAATGTTGCACACATCTCACTTCTGACCGCACGCACGAAGGTGGCACCTCTGAAGGGCGCCACTATACCCCGCCTGGAACTGTCGGCAGCACTACTGTTGGCTGAAACTATTCAGAATGTTCGGGACTCACTGGGCTTAATGGATGCTCCATACTATTTGTGGTCGGACTCGGCGATCGTTTTGTGCTGGTTGAAGAAGCATCCAACAACACTTAAGCCGTTCATATCCAACCGGGTTCGCAGGATACAAGAACTGACTTCCCCCGACCGATGGTACCACGTTCGTTCAGCACAGAACCCTGCTGATTGTGCCAGCAGAGGCATTACACCCGAAGAACTCTTAGTTCACCCGCTTTGGTGGCATGGACCTGATGAGCTAGGCAGCGCTCCCTCAAACCAGCCCGAGATCCCTCTCAGCCAGGACGAGTCGTTTGAGCTCCTTGCCGAAAGGCGAAGTACATGTCAGTCAATGGTACTCCTCGCGCAGCCTTTGAATACCCGTCGCCCAGATGGACACATTATGTTATTGACCACCCGTTTTAGTTCAATTCAACGCCTGCTGGGTACAGTGGCCATCATGCTGCGCTGGTTGAAAGGGCGTCGGCACTTTCGTCAACCTGTGGTCAGCGCCCAGGAACTAGATGACGCCCTGTACACGCTTATCCGTCGAGAGCAAGGGGAACACTTTGCCGCTGAGATTAGGCAGTTGAAGTCCCGTTCAGGTTTGTCCTCCTGCACAAGAATACTCTCATTGGATCCATTTTTAGATGAGAACCACATCCTTCGGGTCGGAGGGCGAATACATAAGGCCGAACTGGAACATGACCAGCGATTCCCGATCATATTGCCGAAGTCGACTCCCTTGGTGCAGCTTTTAATACGTCAGGCCCATGAGGCAACGCTACATGGAGGAACGCAACTCATGCTACATACCCTCCGTCGCCGGTTTTGGATCCTGAATGCCAGGCAGGCGGTCAAGAGTTTTATCCACAAGTGCGTATTATGCCGCCGTCATAAGGGAGAGGTGTTCAAGCAGCAAATGGCTCCACTACCCGGGCAGAGGATCAAACCCGCGAGGCCGTTTGTGTCGTCTGGGGTAGACTACTGTGGCCCTTTTACACTGCGGGTCGGCACAAAGCGCTCTCGCACGGTCATCAAGACGTACCTAGCCATCTTCGTATGCATGGTCACCAAGGCCGTGCACATCGAAGTAGTGGATGATCTATCCGCACAAGCGTTCCTCGACGCCTTCACCCGTTTCGTCAGCCGACGAGGTCCCTGCCGCGACCTATACAGTGATAATGGCACTGCCTTTGTTGGTGCTAACAGACTCTTACGCGAAGACCTAGCCGCATGACATAGTGAAACCAACCAGCGAAGGTTAGCAGACTTGGGTACCAATTGGCACTTCATTACACCTAGTGCGCCGCATCAATGTGGGCTATGGGAGGCGGCTGTTAAGTCGGCAAAGCATCACTTGGTCCGCTGTGTGGGTTCGCAAATCATGTGGCATATTCAATGGCAGACATTGGCTACCCGGATAGAAGCATGCCTGAACTCACGCCCAATTACCCCCCTGTACGAGGACCCGGAAGAGAAGTTCGCGCTGTCGCCTGGTGATTTCCTGATTGGGGCTCCGCTGATAGCAGTCCCGGAGCCAGACATTCAACATATTCCAAACAACCGACTGAAACAATGGCAATGGGTACGGCAGGTTCAACAAGTGTTTTGGCAGCGGTGGAGTGAGGAGTATCTGACCACTCTGCAGAGGCGCCACAAATGGCATCGGCGCATCACTAACATAAGGGTCAATGACATCGTACTCGTCAAGCATGAGAACTTGCCTCCGACTCACTGGCGCATGGGTCGCGTCGTGGCGGTACATCCTGGGGCTGACGGGGCGGTTCGCAATGTCACATTAAGAACTTCCGGCGGATGCATGACTCGAGCTGTTCAGAAGCTGTGCCTCTTACTGGAGCCTGAGGATTTCGAGTCAACCGACTCGACCGGGCAGGATGTTGAAGCTGTAACCTCTTAGTTAAGTTTATTTTCTGTCATTTCGT